GGAGGAGGAGAAGAAGTAGAGGAAGAAGGAGGAGGAGGAAGAAGAAGTAGAAGAATTAGAGGAAGAAGAAGGAGAAGGAGGAGAAAGGAGAAGGAGGAGGAGTAGGGGAGGAGGAGGAAGAGAAGAGAACCTGGTTCCTCTTCCCTTTTATTAGGTCTCTTTTTTGCAAGAAATGTTGACACCAACCCATGTTTTAGGAGAGGAAAAGATGAGAACAAAACCCCTTTCCTGAAAATGTCTTTCCCTCCCATTCTCCTCACTGGAAAAAAAAATGTTTCTCCTTGGGTTTTTGAAATACGTACAGTATCAGGAGGAAAATGCTGAGAGCACCATTTACACAAACCATATGCAGGAAAAAACTCTTCTTTACCGCTGAATTTTGTTGCCCAAGGAAACCTAGGGGACAGCACAACCAAAGCTAATGACCTTGACAATTCAAGCCAACCACGTTTGTGACATTCCAGCAATTTTTTTCCATTGTTTCCCCACCCCCCCAAAACCCCTCTAGGTCCTAATAATACAACTTATCCTAAGGCTATTTTTCTGCAGAAGGGAATTGCTGTTCCTGGCAATAAAGTCTTGTTATGTGTTCGTTAGGTTTATATAGGTACGAACTTGTTAGATGATCCTTTCGTTTGAATAACTGAAACTTTGGAAACTTTCTCTGTTTGGGTCAGGAGGTGGATTCAGACATAAAGTCAGCGATATCTCAGTTATGTTTTTAATCTGATGGCATGTTGCTGTAAATGGCTCGACAATCTATAGGGGAAAGAATAAGGGACTGCAAGTATATTTTTGCCGCTGCTTTTGTCCTGCTTGTCACATCACACAAATCTTAAGGGAGGACTGCCCTGTAAACCTTCAGAGATAGGCCAGTAGCAGCAAAAGAGCCACAATGATCAATTAAACAGTTGGATCTGACTTTTAAGAAGCCTAGAAAAGAAATCCCAGCCGGGCATCCTGCCTCTAGGCAAGCCAATTTATTTTTGATAATACTTTTATAATTCTATTCATATTAACAAGTGCTCTGTGAATGTGAGACCCACGTCAAGTTCTCATGCTTGAGAAAAGCTGGTAATAAATCAAGTAATCAAAAATAACTGTATCTGGCACATCTATTTTATGGGAGAATTGCAAGGTGGTTAAGATCAGACTGTACTAAAATGGTAGCCCATAAGCAGCGAGTGGTTTAGATAATGAATTCATTTGCCTGCAGCTTTATATTTTGTGACTCTGAGGTTCTGCCATACGATTAGAAATGATACAAAAGGTGCTTTTAAAAAAATAAATAAATAAAGAGGCAACTGGACTTTCTGGTTTTTCTTTGAAGACGTTTTGCTTCTCATCCAAGAAGCCTTTTCACTGTAACATTCCAGTTAGATCAGGGGTGTCAAACTCAAGGCTGAGATCTGGCCTGTGGGGCCAACTTGGAAACAGCAAAGGAGCAGCCTACGGTGACTCTACCTGCGAAAACTGAGCTCGGGAGGGCCACGCATCCCCCAAGCTCCGTTTTCACTGACAGAGGGCTGCAGGAGGACCTCACGACTGAAAATAGGGCCTGGGGGGGCGTGTATGAGCCCCCGAGCTCTGTTTTTGCTGGCAGAGGGCTGCAGGAGGCCCTCACGACTGAAAATAGCGCCTGGGGGGGCACATGGGCACCCAAGCTCCATTTTCGCTGGCAGAGGGCTAGCAAAACAAATTAAAACCAAAACAAAAGGAGAAACGTTTCTCCTTTTGCATTTGAGCATGCAAGAAGGGACAGGAAAGGAGAAAGGGAAAGAGGAAAGACAAAGAAAAAGAAGGGAAGATGGGAAGAGAGCAAGGAAGGAAAAATAAGGAAAGAGGGGAAGGAAGAAGGAAGGAGAAGGAAAAAAAAGAAAAGGAAGGAGATTATAATGAGAGTGAGGGAGGGTCTGAGGGAAGTCCTACCTTAGCCCTTGGCCACCACTGGTGCCCCCGACATGAGTGATGTTGAGCTGCCCAACCTTACCCTGCCCACTCCTACCCCAGCCATGCCCACCCTGGCTCCCTGGGGTCAAACACAACCTTAATGCGGCCCTCAATGAAATCAAGTTTGACACCCCTGAGCTAGATTATGTATGTTTATCACAGATATCTAATGAGCCCTGAAGTAAGCATATTGGCCAAAAAAAACCACACAAGCTTTTTACTGTTCGCTGTGATTTGTTCGCGAATTCAAACTGCAAAGTCTGATCAGTCAAAAACAGGCCATTTTCAAACAGCAGTTTGTAAAGACGGCCTGTATAAGCCACGGTTTGTGTTAACCGCAGTTCAAGGCTGAGACACGTTATATAACAAGTGGCTTCTGAAGGAAGAAGGAGAATGTTATGAGGCTGGGAAGAGGCATCATTTAAATATCCACTGTGTTCACAATCCGTGAGTTAATTTAAGTGGAAGAGCTGCTCCATTTCCCAAATTTTCAGATGGGGAAAAGATTAATACAAACAAATTGCAAACTGCCAGATGACTACAAGAAGTGAAGAATTAAGCAGAGGATGCAGGCAAAGCCGCTTCTCCTTGGCGTGGTCTCTCTCTCTCTCTTTGGCTCAACCTTTGTTGAGGTTAATCAACCTGACAGGTTCCTTCATCCTCATTCTCAAGACAATCAATTAATGTTCTCCCCATGACGGCCATTCCCACTGTTCGGCTTCAAGTCTTTGCAAAGAGGCATTCAAAGGGAATTTGGCCAGCATGAAAGCCTGATTAGTAGCTTTCCGTTCTCCAAGAGATTGAGAGGCAATCAGGACAAATCATGCACGCTGAGAATACTGCATCCAGTTTTGGTCACCACACTATAAAAACGTTGTTGAGACTCTGGATAAAATACATACAAGAGCAACCAAGATGATTAGGGGACTGGAGGCTAAAACATATGAAGAACAGCTACAGGAATTAGGCATGGCTGGTCTAGTGAACAGAAGGACCAGGGGAGACATGATAGCAGTCTTCCAATATTTGAGGGGCTGCCACAGAGAGGAGGCAGGGTCAAGCTATTTTCTAAAGCACCCAAAGGCCAGACAAGGAATAATGGATGGAAACTGAACAAGGAGAGATTCAACCTAGAAATAAGGAGAAATTTTCTGACAGGGAGAACAATCAACCAATGGAACAAAAGTTGCCATCGGAAGTTGTGGGAGCGCCATCAGTTGAGACTTTCAAGAAGAGATTGGACTGCCATTTGGTAGAAATGGTGTAGGGTCTCCTGCTTGGGTGGGTGGGTTGGACTAGATGACCTACGAGGTCCCTTCCAACTCTATTAATCTGTTAAAGCGGTTGCTTTGGGGAGTCCACTTGGATCTGTGTTTTTAATCCCACATTTTCCTAGCCCCAAACGACTGTGAATTTACCGAGCTCTGAACTGACGAAGCCCATTCAGATCCCTTAAGTTCTTTTGGTTAGCTGCCATCGAAGCTAATACACAAGTAACTTAACCCTTGTGTGAATTGTAAACCACCATTATTGGACTCCCTTTATACTACAGCTGTAACGGAGCATATGCAGAGGACTCAGAAGGGAAAAGGAGATTGGTTGCAGTTTTTAAGCAGGAAAGAAAACCCAAACCTGTAATTGAGTGGCAGCCATCTCATTACAGAAAACTGAAACGGTTTCCCAGATCCACCTCATTGACCACATAACGGTAGGAAAACATTTCTGGCATTTTGACAAACATCTTTTGCCTCCTTTGACAGCAGAGCAAACACACTGCCAGGGCAGAAAAGAAAAGCACCAGCAAGTGCTATCCAATTATACATATATATGTAGTTTCAATTCTACAAATTGGAGCTCAGTGGCTCGGTGGCTCGTATTCGGAATGCCACAGGAGGGGAATTTATGACTTTACAAACCTACTGAATTATTGGATCTCTCTCTCTCTCTCTCTCTTTCTTAACTGCTACCCCCCCCCCCCCCCCCCCGATTTATCCTCCTTCCTCCTCCTCCTCCTTCCATTTGGCAAGTATCACCAAAAACATAAAATAAAGTAAAATTGCAGGTGCATTTGAGCATAAACGGCAAAAGACTACGTTGCTGGGATGGGAAAGGAGATAATTGTTCAAGGTCATCAGGAAATGACTAATCCCTTCACTGGCATGGTTTCTAATCCACTGGAGGGGAAAACCAACAAAAAACAATGTTTTCGGTCACAGCTACAAATTCTATGGAATTCACAGATGCTATGAGGATCATCTTCATAAAGTTAAATACAGGTGTCCACGATCAACTGGCCCAAAAGTAGGTATTTTTAACTGGATGTGAGTGGAGACATACAGGATTGTGGGGTGCTTGGCGTTCTCTGAGCTTGGTTGTTTTCTTGGAGACGTTTCATTACCCAGCTAGGTAACCTCATCAGTACCCTGATGCTACCTAGCTGGGTAATGAAACGTCTGTAAGAAAACAACCAAGCTCAGAGAGCACCAAGGACCCCACATTTGAATCCTGAGCTATAAATATACACCTTTATTAGTACAATCATCATCATCCTCTTTTAACAACCCCCATAATCCCTTGCAGGGTGGAATCTGGGCAACTGAATAGAGCTAAGTGTTTACTGGCCGGATGCCCTTCCTGTTGCCAATGAGGAGTTTTTCCCCCCAGCCGATATATTCCCAGTGGGCCCAGAGAGAGAAATATCTGCCTCTACTTAGGATTGAAATCACAGTCTCTTTGATTGTGAGGTGAGAGCTCCCCTCTAGGCCATCGCCCCACTTGATTGGTACAATATATACATGTAATAACTGCGTGCAAGAAGCAAACACATGATTTAGCCAATTAAGAGATTCCCTTCACTAGAACAAGAGCAAAGTATTCATGAACGGAGGTGTATTTTAATAACTTTTATGCATGAATTGGGACAGACGTGATAATAGAAGCTACCTGAGTGCTGGCTACATTGGTTCCATCGGTGACTTCCACTGTCATGTTGTACATCGACCTCTGCTCCGCATCCAAGGGTTTTGCGACGACAATTGTCCCCACACCTTTGTCCGCTTCAAAAGAGCTCTCGAAATTCCCCCCTAGTTGTCGTTACAACAGAAAGTACAATTACATTCCCAGAATGTTTTTGATTCAAGACAATAAAATACGCAAAGCAACAGGCACAGACCAGGATGTGCTGATTGACAAAGAGGCACTGCACAAAATGTGCCCTTATCATCTTTGTTCTGTGCTAATTTTTCTCTTTTCAGGCATCATTTCTATATTTTGAAACAGATATTGCAACCAGGGACAGGGGGGGGGGGGGGGGAGAAGAAAAATAACAGCCAATATCATGGACAAAAGATTCAGCAATGCATCCATCCGGAGTGTAGATGTACACTTTTGTTATTATGAAAGCCCCGTCTTCATTGTATATGCCTTTGGGATCAAGATTTGAGCATCGTTTTCATGTCACACGAATTGTCTAGCACCAGCAGGGCCACAGACATGTTTTTAACAAGAGTTGACTGCTTTAATTAACAGTCCTCTTTATGAAAGAAATATCATTTCTCCTAGAAAGCTGCTTTAAACCAGGTTGGCTAATGATCCCAAATGTCTAGATTAACAGGACTGGCTACTCAGTCGAGAACTTTCACACTTCCACTTCCGCCCCGTTACATGTCAAATTTACCTAGGGTGACTTAGCACTAAACCCAGGACTTTCTGTTTAGCGTGCGTTAGGATCACTGAAAACACAAAAGAAGTCTAATGCACACAACCCCCACTGTCTTCGTGGCAGTCTATCTGAAAGCAAATCTTGGTTTTCTTTCAATTAGTAGGCACCTAAGTGCTTCCCATGTGTTAAAGAAAAAGCCTCCATTGATCTGAGATGGAGTGTGATTCTTCTGATTGGCAAAAAGAGCTTTTTTTCTGGAGATAAGGGAGAGAAAAATCTTTAGAGACATGTCTCAGACTCTTAGAAAAGAGGGAAGAGTGAACATCACATCTGTTTGTCGAAGGAGAAGTGCTGACGGCTGTCCTTAGCTTATTTCTTGTACATGATTGGAAACATAAAACAACTGATAGCACAAAAAGACCAAGCCGTCCACTGAATCTGCCCTTTGAGCTTGTTATTTATTTTTATATTTTATTTATATTTATTTTAATTTTTATCCCTGGATGATGGGGACATGTGCTTATCCCAAGCATGTTTAAAACTCCATTATTGATGATTGACCTACTACCTCTGCTGGAAATTGGTTCCGAGCTTCCACTACTCCGTCTGTGAAATTATACCTTTTAACATGACTTTTGACCATCCCTCCTAAGAGCCGTAGTGGCGCAGTACTGCAGGCTACTTCTCCTGACTGCCAGCTGCCAGCAATTTGGCAATTCAAGCCTCATCGGCTCAAGCTTGACTGAGCCTTTCTGAGGTTGATAAAATAAGGAGCCAGATTGTTGAGGGAAATATGCAGCTCTGTAAATCATTTAAGGAGGGCTGTAAAGCATTGTGAAGCGGTATATAAGGCTAAGTGCTATAGCTATCAGTCTGAGGTTATGCCCCTGTTCTTGATCTTTTTTAACATTGAAAATATTGCCTTCTTGAACCTTACTCACGCCTTTAACATACTTAAAGGTTTCAATCATGTCACCCCTTCCCCTTCTGTCCTCCAGGCTGTACATATTCAGTGACTAATATGTTTCATCTTAATTAACACAAAAGGGAAGTATGACGTTTTCCAATTATGTCCTAGAAGCTATAACCCTTTTCTCATTATCAACTACTCATACCAAGGATATCTGATTTATTTGGTTAGTTCTCCTTACACCATTGCAGGAAGATAACGCAAAGATTTCTCCTGCCCTTGCAGAAACAGAAATGATCTAACTCAGGGTCAGGAACAAATTATTGGTGGGTTGTTGTGGTCCACCAGTACCCCAAAACTCTATTTCAAATGGGTTCCATCTTGGTTTAGAGGTAGAGTAGAGGTTTAAGAGTTGGAACAGAAATCATTTGCCTTCTACCCTTTACCCCCCTTCAAAACCATCTATGACCCTTAAGTGAGTTATTAGATGGCCTTCTGTGATCATTCAAAAGTCATGAGCCTCTGACTTCTTGGGAGATGTCTACCAGCAGTCTAACTAATGAAAGCTATTTGGAAAAAAGAGCTTGTCTTGCATTGATGGTTGGCAGGGATTCCTAAGAGCGACACAGTGATTCTCTTTGGGCAGGAATTAAAAGATTTACACAACTGAACACTGCAAAATTCCAAATCTCATTTGTGCAACACCACCATAGTGACAACACTGTTGCTACTGGTAGTTATCTATACTGAACCAGAAAATTCAAAATAAAAACTCTTTATGTTTCAAATTATTTGTATCTGAGTAAAAATCTATTTCATATGTTACCATCCACCTCATGTCAGTGCAAAGGATCAGGGCTATAGTTAAATTGCAGCCTGAAGAATTATTGCTCAATTTAATCAACAATTACACAAGAATTTAATCAACTAAAGTTCAACACTAAACTGGCTCCAGATAAAGGTCAATGGAATTCAGGGTGGGTTGGACTTGCGTTGTTTGTGGGAATGTAATGATTCTAAGCTGATGATGTGCTTAACTCTGCCCTCCCAACTCTGCCTGCTTTTCACCTCAGTTGCTTTCCACCTATCCTAAATGAAACATTTCTTCAACATGATGACTCTCTCCAATAACTACTTTATTAAAAAGTACAAGTTTGGTAAGACTAGGAATGCCCCTCCCCAGAGGTGGTATTCAGCAGGTTCTGACCAGTTCTGGAGAACCGGTAGCGGAAATTTTGAGTAGTTCGGAGAACCGGCAAATACCACCTCTGACTAGCCCCGCCCTCATCTATTCTCTGCCTCCTGAGTCCCAGCGGATCGGCTGGGTCTTCTTTTGTTGCCCTGCACAGGAGAACGGAGCTGGAAAGCAGGTTAGTGGGGTGAGGAGGGAATGGGATTTTGCTCACTCCCTCTCCCAGGAGAGGAGAGGGAGTGGGGATTTTGCAGTATCCTTCTCCTGCCACGCCCACTAAGCCATGCCACACCTGCAGAGCCAGTAATAAAAAAAATTTGAATACCACCACTGCCTCTCCCTCTCCTCCCCAGAGAAGAGTCACAAATAATTTGGTCATTATGTTCAGAAATGCCATTGATCAAAAGCAACCATGCTTCCTCTCGCCTTGTCCCTTCCTGCTTTCCCATCAAGTAAATGCATTTGAACTGGAATTTACGGAAAATTTTTCCGGAGAGGGGAAAAGAAAGAGGTCCGAAGCAGCTAAAGGTTTTCTGTCCCATTTCAACTGGAGGAGTCAGGAAGATGAATGAATGAGCCAAGGTACCTACGGTTGTCACAGAAGGTGGCGCGCCAGGATGTTTACAACGTTGTCAAGAATGAGCATTTTTTTAATGATTAATTTTAGTGCCTCCTCCTCGGGTCTGCCGCTCCCCAAACAATTATCCTGAACAATTTTAAGGCATGGGAAAGAAAATAACCTGATTGATTTTAAATCTTCTTGCTACAATGAGGAAATGGCAGAATGGCTTCAATCTCAGGAGATCTAGCACATACCAATTGTCTTCCAACTTCCAGATATCCTGCAATTATGCTGCATAATTCCTTTCTTCGATATAAGCAAAAAAGTATAATTTTAAAGACCTTGGTTCAACACTGTGAGCAGTCACACCGAGGCCAGATTTTGAATGTTTCTCAGGGGGATGTACTTTCGCCCTCTCCCTTTTGGTAGAAATTTTAAATTTGGGAGTGAGGGTGGGGACAGCTGGCTAGTGCTAGGCTCTATATAGGGCAGGGGTCGCCAGCCTTTTGAACCTCAGGGACCATCAAACTCATAATTTTAAATCCCGCGGACCACTAATATGAATTTTGACCGATGGTGGCTTGCTGACGTTTTCCCAGGGTCTCTGCAGAAAGCAGCAGAGACCCTGGGAAAATCCCCCCCCCCAAAAAAAAGTCTGCAGGAAAATTCCCCACCCCATTTTCCTATATTTATTTGGGATCGCAGGATACTGTCTCCAGCTCCATTCTCAGTGGAAGGGATGGGTATTTTAAAGAACTAAGCCTTTTCCTTTTGATGATCAGTAGATGGCAGCCAAGAGTTAGAGAGGGTTTTTTTTTTTTTTGTCTCTCCATGGCCATCTAGGGGTCCTCACAGAGCCCTGCAGTTTCCAGTTTGCTAAATCTGCATTTGCTCCAGATTCTAAATTGACACTGCTTCGAATAGGAGAATCCTTATGGATCCTGCTCTGTCTAATATCTATATCCTTATCCATATATATCTATAAACTGTATAAATAGAAAAGCAGAATTTGCACACTACTATTATGGTAAAGTGACCATATATTGCTTCCGGTGAAGAAACCAATATGGTGAATAGCCAGGAGCTATTTCTCCTTTCAAAATATGACACAGAGCTCTTCAAAATTTGAGATCTTAGACACATAGAAAAAAGATCACAAGTGCTTCAAAAGATGACTGTAAATGGAAGTGGTACTGCTCATTACTAAACAGTTACCATTTTGGGTGTAACCAGGAGAATACCAATTTACCAAAAAGCAAATTGTTCTCTGTTCTCTGAAATCTTTTCTAGTCCTCTAAAGTATTCACTATCTAATCCAGAGTTTTATCATTTCTCCTTCCTCCTTCTCTGGGCAGGCTTCAAGCAAAAACTAAATGAAGATTAAACTTCTCTATTTCCATAAACTAGAGACCAGGAGCCGAAACTGGGGTCAGCAACATGAGATATGGGGGAAAAAAACAAACAAACAGCCAACCGATGGGGAAAGTCCCTCAATTCATCCCATAACAGGATCAGGTTCCATGTGACATCTGGCTTTCCATGATTAAAAATGATTCCTACCGGGGAAAAATAAAAGAAAAGAAAAATATGTTTAATTAAATAAAGACAGCCAACTTTGGCCTCAACTGTATTTCCAGGAATGACTCCAGGTCTCACAAGGGTCCTCTAAGCTTTCTTACAAAATAAAAATCAAGACATTTGCAAAAAGGATAGCATCAGCTTTTCCCCCAAAGTGGTGATTTGTTCTGTACAAAAAGG